CCCCAAAACCCCAAAACCCCAATACCATATCTAATATGAATTATAAAATATTTAAAAACATAATATTATTACAATTAATTAATAAAATGAACTTGTTTGATTACATCTCAAGCGATCTACCGTCTTAGTAAAAGACCTAGCTCTACCAGGAAAAGTCAGTCTGCCTTTGTCTTTTTAGAGTTATATTTGACCAGGTAGAACAACAACTTATCTACAGAATCATTTTTATGGATCAAAACTTCACTATATAAGATATTCAAGAAATGCTGCATATAAAACCAAAAGCTATTCCAGGGATGAATCCCTCTCCAGAGGAAATGAAAGAAGCAAAGAAGCAACATGAGGATCTAAGCGAAAAATTTATCAAGAAACTGCAGAAATTTGAATTAGCTGTCGAAATAGAAACTTAAGGAATGTCAACACCTGGTCTGGGAAGAAACCCCAGGACGCCTTCGTTGCAACAGAATGTAAGCAGGCAATCAGATATCATGGGAGGAAATACACCTATATTAAGTTAAATGACAAGCGGCATCTATGAAACCGAGAAAGACATATAGAACAAGAGGCAATACAAGTTAAAGCCAGAATTTCAGTAGAACATTCTTGCTATTTTAACTACAAAGTAATTCTTGCAGCTTAAACTTTTAGGTTTGAACTGACTAATCTCATAGAGAAAAAATCCTCAAGCAAAATACAAGAGGAGGAAAAATAATAAGTTGAAAAGTGGGAAAATGTAAAGTATATAACTTATTAACTTCCTACAGATTTCGAAATTTATGCTGAATATAACACAGTCTAACTAAATGAATCAGAGTCTAATCAATATGCTATAGCAAGCTAGATATATAGAGTTTGATGTAAGAATATCTTAGTATCAATTGACTGTCAACGGATTCCAGTACATTTTGATGGACACACCCTCACAAGTCCAGAATATACTCCTGAACTATATCCAAACTGCCCAGCAGTCTGGAAGAGATGTAGTAGAGCTTCTCTAATTTATATTTAATCTCACTTTGACTGAGCATAATCATGTAAAAATATCTTCGATTAAACATCTAATAGTACTACAAGTTGAGAGAAAAGAGAGAGAATATCTTATAGATACTAAGTGATTTCAAGGAAATCGGATTAATAGGTACTAGTTCTAAAGGGTCCTAAAACTTACCACCTTTAGGAATGTCGATAGGAAGAAAGCAGAAGTTTTTCATTACTTCTCTTCTTCAATCATTCTTGCAATCATAAACGGGGCAGAATTTAAAGATAGTGGAGTAAAGCACCAGCCTTGTAGACTAGTAGAAGCAACAAATTTTGGACAAATTCATCATAGTAGAGACCAACTTTAAGGTTTTTGCTTATACTAGTTCAGATCTCTACAGGCAGCTACTTAAGTAATTCATCAGAGTTGAGTGTTTCTTTCCTAATCTTGTTGTGGGAACTCTGACAAGGAAGAGTCTACAAAAAGCTTACCAAAGAGGGATTTCATCATAACAGATTTTACATTTTTTGGAAACTCATACTCATATCACTGCAAGAATGAATAAAATGGCTCAGTAATAATCGAATATGTCCGCTTAGACTTATGAATATTCTTAAAGTAGACAGGCCACAACTTAAGGAACTGAAGATGCCAAGAATATGCCGATTGCTGATTTGTTTGGCTTGAGCAGCTCGAGATCAGCTAGACTATAAGCAGCTAATAAAGACAGTTATAATTATATTCCTCCTAATGTTAGATAGTAAATTGAGCTTTGGGAGAAAGAGCTTAAATCTTTGTCATCAAAGCCAGGGCTTCTGATTGAATTTGATTCCAAAGATAGGTATAATAGCTTTATCGAATATGCCAAGTAAAAAAAGATATTGATTTATAAGATATTAGAGAAAGAATTTCAGCAAAAGAAAGAATACTTAGTTATTGTTGATGTCCAAAATGAGAAAGAGGCCTATGAATTTACTTTTATGTGATTCTGATATTAAATTGACAATTAGAGATTAAAAATTAATTCGTATTTTGCTTTTGATAATAATGATAAAAATATTATAAGCGGGGTTTTGGGGTTTTGGGGTTTTGGGG